CTCTCAGTAGCTTGCTGGGCTCTCCGGCAGGGGCGGAGGACCTAGCTGGGCCAGGCTGGCCGCTCACAAGGCAAACACCCTACCGCTGTGCTATCACTCCAGCTCTTATCGCTCCATTGCTCCCAGCCGTCTATGGCCATACCACCCTGAACGCGCCCAATCTCGTCTGATATATATATATATATATAATATCTCTTATATTAGAGATATTATATATCTCTATATATAATATCTCTAATATAATATATTATATTAGAGATATGATATATATTATAATATAATATATTATATTAGAGATATTATATTATATTATATTATATTATAATATAATATATTATATTATAATATAATTAATTAATATTATAATTATTATAATATTATAATAATTAATTAATATTATATTATATTATAATATAATTATAATTATAATCATAATTATATTAATATTATATAATATATAATAATAATTATAATTATAATTATAATTATATTAATATTATATTATATTATAATATTATAATATTATCATTATAATATTATAATTATAATATTATAATATATTATAATATAATATAATTAATATATATAATTAATATATTATATTAATTATAATATATTATATTAGAGATATTATATTATATTATATTATATATATTATATTATATTATATTATAATATATTATATTAGAGATAATATATAGAGATATTAATATAATATATTATATTAGAGATATTATATATATTATAATATAATATATTATATTAGAGATATTATATATGGGCTGGAGCGATAGCACAGCGGGTAGGGCGTTCACCTTACAAGCAGCCAACATGGCCGACCCGAGTTCGATTCCTCCGCCCCTCTCGGAGAGCCCGGCAAGCTACCGAGAGTATTCGATATGCCAGACACAGTAACAACAAAGTCTCCAATGGAGACGTTACTGGGCCCGCTCGAGCAAATCGACGATCAACGGGAGGGCCTTATTGAACCACCATATATAATATCTCTTATATAAGGGCTTACTGGTTCCAGGGTGAGATACAGCAATCTTCACACACTTTTCTCTAAGGAAACTTTCTTGAATCATTTTTTAGTGGATTATTTATAACAAGCAATACAAAATATATTATTTAGGACTTGTTTTTGGAGCAGGTTTGTGTGGTGGTGGGAAAATTCAAAATAATGGTGGTGGAAAATGTAATGGTGATGGGATTGGTGTTGGAATATTGAATGAAATAAATTGTGAACAACTTTATAAAATCAAAAGTAAAAGTAAAGTAAAGGCCCTCCCGTTGATCATCGATTTGCTCGAGCGGGCCCAGTAACGTCTCCATTGGAGACTTTGTTGTTACTGTGTCTGGCATATCGAATACTCTCGGTAGCTTGCCGGGCTCCCCGAGAGGGGCGGAGGAATCGAACTCGGGTCGGCCATGTTGGCTTCGTGCAAGGCAAACGCCCTACCGCTGTGCTATCGCTCCAGTCTACAGTCATACCACCCTGAACGCGCCCAATCATAAAATCAAATAAAATTAAAAAAAAAAAAGACTGGGCCTTTGATGCATGACAAACAGGAAACAGAAGGACACACAGAAACGCAGCTGGAAAGCTGGGCCAGGAGGCGGGCACCTCATCTTCCTTGCATGATCCTGCCCCCACTTCTGGTCCTGAGCACCGAGCCAGGAGTCAGCCCTGAGCACAGCTGGGCGTGGACCAAGGAGCCTCAAAACAAGACAAAGAAGCCAAAGATCCTGGCTTTGACTCTCGCCCTGGGAATTTGGGGAGGCCCAGTCAGTTCACAGATCTGAGCTGGCCACGGGGCGAGTGGACGGGTGCCCGCTTTCCACCCTGTGCCCGGGAAAGGGGGCGCTCAGAGGCGCCCGGGGCTTGGGGGTACCGAGCAGGAGCAAGAGGAGAGTCGTGGGACCGACCTCCTTTCTTCAGCGGGGATTGGGGGGCTGGGTGTGGCCAGTCTGCGGGGGCCTCACCCAGGGTCTTAGCATGGAGCACCCGAAACCCCGAGGGCCGCCAAGCCTGACGTCTTGGTCCTAAGCATCTGAGTGGACAGTCACCGGGAGGGGCACAGTCCCTTCCCCTTGATGTAGGGAGGAGGCGGATGGGGACGGCCCCTCCCCGGGCGATGGCAGGAAATTCCCTGGGCAGTAATAACGCTGAAGTTGTGAACTTGCCGAAAACGGGAACTAAGGCCTGGTAAGACCCTCACCTGGAGCCAGCAACGGCCCCCGAGGAGACTAGAAACCTGCCCATGAAGGAAATTCCTCAAATACCCTTGGACCTCCGGATTAACCCGAGGTTAACCCGATTAACTTTAGCGATTCAGTTCAGAGAAGACTTCAGAACATTCCAGACCAAGGCATCCGGAGAAGAGACTCTGGAACAGCCACCCTGAACAAAGGAAGCGCGCACATAAACGGTCCGAGCCCGTGTGTTGCCTGAGCCCACGTAGCCGGGCACATGTGTCGCCCGCATCTCCCCACCTGAGGTGGGGACTTTCATGCTTTCCTGTCTAACGCTGGGGTGTGTGTCGGGGCTCTCCCCGCCCTCGGAGAAGCCTGGATTCTCTCTTGAGCACTCTCAGGTACTCTCCACTCTCTCTCCCCCCTTCCCTTCAAAACCTCCAAATAGGGGCTGGAGCAATAGCACAGCGGGGAGGGCGTTTGCCTTGCACGCGGCCGACCCGGGTTCGATTCCCAGCATCCCACACGGTCCCCTGAGCACCGCCAGGGTTAATTCCTGAGTGCAGAGCCAGGAGTAACCCCTGTGCATCGCCGGGTGTGACCCAAAAAGCAAAGCAAAAAAAAAAAAAACCCTCCAAATAAAAACTGTGTCATTTCACTGCTCGTCTACTCCTGAAATTCCTTTCTGCAAGGTGAGACGAGAGCCCAGTAACCCTGGGCAGTAACCCTGGGTCCCGGTTGGCAGAGGCAGATGGGGAGAAAGTGACCGTCTTTGAACCACCCGAGGGCCCCGCCCCTGACATCACTCTGTGTCTCGGGTTGGAGGGCCCCAGAGGGCGGGACCCCTGCCCCTGGGGGGGAGCTGGCAGGAGCAGCCAGTCCTGGGTGCAGATGTGACCCTGGGACGGAGGGGCTGGGGGGGCGGGGGGCTTGTTCTGACAGCAGGAGCCGGGCCGTGGGGAGGGGGGGGGATTCTGGCCCCTCCCCCAGCTTCCTGTGCTGGAGCCGCCCCCAGCAGAGTGGTGGCAGCTGAAAGACCCCCCCTGCTGGTTTGCGGGTCCCCCACTCCCCACAGCTTTCCGGAGAACTGAGCCCAGCACCTCCAGTCACCTGCGGGCTGGGCCAGGGTGTCTCCCGCCTTCCCCCCCCACCCCCACCCCCGCCCCCAGAAGCGCAGCCTCCTGATGCTAGGGGCTATTCCTTTCCGCTCTCCTCCTCCTCCTCCTCCTCCTCCTCCTCCTCCTCCTCCTCCTCCTCCTCCTCCTCCTCCTCCTTTTCTTGAAGGTGCAGTTCCTGCCAGCCCCTCAGGGCGCGGGGCGCAGGCCAGCAGCTCGGAGGCGGTCCACGCAGCCAGTGTCCGGCCTTATCTGAATTCTCCGAGGCAGGGACTGGCAAGAGGAACCTCTTTTTTTTGTTTGTTTTTGTTTTTGGGTCACACCCGGCGATGCTCAGGGCTTCCTCCTGGCTCTGCACTCAGGAATTACTCCCGGCGGTGCTCGGGGGACACTATAAGATGCTGGGAATCGAACCCGGGTCAGCCGCGTGCAAGGCAAACGCCCTACCCACTGTGCTATTGCTCCAGCCCCAAGGAACCTCTTTTCTCTAATTATTTTCCTTCATTTTATCTTTTCTTTCCCTTTCTTTCATTTTTGGTGGGGTGTGGGGCCATCCTGGCAGTGCTCAGGACTCATTCCTGACTCAGTGCTCAAGGCTCACACCTGGCTCTGTGCTCAGGGTGACTCCTGGCTCAGTGCTCAAGGTTCACACCTGGCTCTGTGCTCAGGGTGACTCCCAGTTCAGTGCTCAAGGTTTACAGCTGGTTCTCTGCTCAGGGCTCACGCCGAGCTCTGTGCTCAGGGCTGACTCCTGGCTCTGTGCTCAGGGCTGACTCCTGGCTCTGTGCTCAGGGCTGACTCCTGGCTCTGTGCTTAGTGCTCACTCCCAGCTCTGTGCTCAGGGATCACTTCTGGCTCACTCCTGACTCTGTTCTCAGGGCTCACTCCTGGCAGGTTCAGGGACCAAATGAGGTGCTGGGGATTGAACCTGGGTCTGCTGCATGCAAGGCCAGTGCCTTAGCCCCTGTGCGCTCTCTCTCTCTCTCTCTCTCTCTCTCTCTCTCTCTCTCTCTCTCTCTCTCTCTCTCCAGCCCATAGTGACCTCTTATTTATAAGCCCAACCTCTTCCTCTGCTTCCTCTCTGAAAAATGAATATAACAACATAATCTTGACGTCTTTTCTAAGATTCCAGTGAAACTAAAGGAAGGATGGGCTGGTCCACCTAGACGCCCAAGGTCTTTTTACCCAGTGCCTCAAACCGAGAGAACCAGTGGGGCATTAAGGTGCAAAAGCTCTGAAAGAGCCCTCAGTGCTGTGTGATGTTGCCCAAGGCGCTTGCCCTCTCTGAAATTTCTCCAGTCCTAACAGAACTTCGTTGAGAAGGCGTTCAAAGCTTGGCAGGCAAGAGGCCTCCACAAAGAGAATGAAGGAATGAATGAATGAATGATTTCCTGCCCTCGGCCCCTGGGACAGGTCAGCCCTCGTGGAGGTCATTTTCAGTTGTCTTTGCTCTCTCTGTCATTTCTTCTCCACTCCAGTGAGATCGAAGTGTTTTCCACCTCCAGGTGCAGATAACACACACACGCACACACGCACACACGCACACGCACACACACACATCACACACGCCCCGTGAGCTGGCGTTTTCTTATTCACTGTGCAAACTCTATCTTTTTAATTATTAGCCAACTAATGTTTCTTCAGAGTGGAACGGCCCAAACAAAGCAACAACCAGGAGCAGCAGCAGCGTGACGGCGTGTGCCGTGTGTCGTGGGTGAACGTCTGTCCCCGCCGAGCACGCAGGGGGCGTGAAGGGGAGCAGGGAGTGCGCGCGGGCTCTGGTATTTACGTGAAAGGCACCCGGGTTAAATTCCCCACCGGCAGGCAGGCAGGGATCACCGCCGGGGCTGCTTGATCCGGGCTCCGTCCGAGTGTGCGGGCTGGTCCTCGCCCTCCCGGGTGCCTCTCCGGTCGTCACATACCCTCGGCTGCTGCTCCAGCCCGCCTTGTCCCCGGGACTGGCCGGTCCTGAGCGTGCCAAGGTGTCTCCGAAAATGAGCACTTTCTCCTCTGAGACGGCCGCCGCGTGGCTCTGCCCGGCTGTCGCGGCGGTCTTGGGAGGGACAATTCTTTGCCAAGTCGAGAGTCGCCCGGGGCAGAGGGGGACAAAGGTGGTCTGCCTGGCGGGCCTCTGGGGAGGGGCGTGTCTGCTCAGCCTGTCCGTCTTTTGGGGTGCCCTCCTGTTCTCCGTGGGGTGCCTCCTCGCGTACCATCACTTATCTGGCCAAGCGCTGTTACCTGTGGATCAAAAAGCCGTCCTGATCACAGGTAAGTGGGTCCTCCCGCAGGGAAGGAGTTGGTGCTCGGCTGTGCCCGAGCGGGGTGTGAGCCACATTTTGGCTCAAAAAAAAAAAATGACCATCCTTGGCATGGAGTAAATGAAACGCTCATCCCCAAGTGGTTTTGGCTTTGCCCCTCTTCGCGCTGGGCGGGCGGCTGGGGCCGGGGTTGCACCCGGCACGGAGCGCTCATCCCGGCCAGCAGCGACCCCCGGGTTTCCCCACGGCCGGACAGTCCCCGAGGGTTCTGGCACCTTGAGCGGAATTTCGCTCCGAGAGGAGGGTTTGCCTGGCCGCTGTCACGGGCGGATGAGAGATGGAGGTGTTGCGGGTCTCACTCGAACCTTTGTCCTAGGTCTGGCTGGCCACAGCCCGCTAAGGTGGTTAATTGGCTGGCATTGGCGGTGTGTTCGGAGCCGCGGGCTCGTGGGCTGGCTGCTGCCCGGCTCGCCTCGCCTCTCCTCTCCTTCTATGCTCCTTTTTTTTTTTTTTCCCTCCCCGCACCGCAAGTGTGAAGGCAAATTAAATTTCCTCCGGGTCGTAAAACTGGTTGGTTTGCTTGCGAAGCGGGAGCTTGGATAAGTCTTTAATTAGGATTTCCTGGCCTTATCCGAATCCAGAAATTTCTGCCAAGTAAGGACATCGGCTACAGAACCATTCGCTTGGAGGAGGTGATCTTCCCTGTCTGTCCCCCGTTGGGAGACCCTCGCCGAGCTGCCGGCAAGCACGGAGTTGGGGGTGGGGTGGGGGTGGATGGAAGCACACCAGGGGATTCTCAACGGGAGGCAGCTCTTAGCATCCTTAAGGGGCTTCTTCAAGGACAAACAAAACCAAGCCAAAACCCATTTTGCATTTCCAAGGTAGAAGACTCAGCAGCGGGGCGTGGGCTGGGCTCGACCTTCCTCTCGGACGGACGTTTCTTCCTTCCGGCAGGCTGTTCAGATGGCTGCCTGGGTCTTCGGATTTTTCTCTAGAATGAATTCTCTTGACGATCTGATCGGCACCAGCATGGAAAGCCGGGACTGGGTCTTAGCCCTTCCGTCACGCTGCATTTCAGCACAATTCCAGAGTCACTTCTGTCCTTTCACATTAGCATGAGGGAAGGCAAAAGAACCGAACATGTTAATCTGTATACATAATGCATCTGTCTATATTAATGGCAAGGCCACGCCTGACCCAAGGGATTGTCCCGGAGGGAGGTACAAGGTTCTTGGGAAATCAGTTTTAGGGAGCTTCACTTCTGAGGCTAATAAATAACCATAAACATTGAGGATCAATACATGTCAGCTGTCAGGTTGAGCAAGAAGACCTGCTCCCGGGCCAGCGTCAGTGCTTCCTAGCATGTTTCCGAAGACACAGACCCCAAGGAAAGCTCACACAATACCTGCCGGGTCAGCGAGCCTGTAGCAGCTCCTGAAATGTTCTGACTTGTGCTTAGTGTGACCTTTGCAAATGACTGATTCAATTAGGCAATTCCAGCCCAGTGACTAAGCCCTGAACGAGGTACTGAGCAGTTTGCCAGTTGCCATGAGGGAGAAGGATATGCATGCAAAGCAGCCAACTGCATGGAAGGTAACTGCATATAAGGTAACTGCATGGAAGGCAGCCAACTGCATGGAAGGTAACTGCATATAAGGTAACTGCATGGAAGGCAGCCAACTGCATGGAAGGTAACCGACTGCACATTAGGTAATTGACTACACGTAAGGTAACTGACTGCATGTAAGGTAACTGCGTGTAGGGAAACCGACTGTATGTAAGGGAACTGACTGCATGTAAAGTAACTGCATTTAAGGTAACTGACTGCATGCAAGAGTTTCATATGTGACAGGACGCCTGGCAGTTGTGGTCTCTGCGGTGTCTATTAGGGAATGCAGACAGAACCTTGTGCATGTAAGGAACCTGAGTGCATGCAAAGTTACTGCATGTAAGGTAACTGAATGCATGCATGATGTGTTGCCATCAGGTCCTTTGCCATGTCCATGGGGTGCCATGGGTTTCATTGTAATTCTAGAGAAAGTTTCAAGACCTTTGTACCATACTGAAAAATTTGAAATAAATTCATTTGGTTGTTTTTTTTTTTTAAAGAAGTGGCAGTAGCTACCATGACTTGAGATAACCCTGTTTGCAATTGTTTGTGTTTATAACTTTGTATGTATGGTTCCCCAAGTCTGCCAGGAGTAATGCCTGAGCACAGAGCCAGGAGTAAGCCCTGAGCACTGCCAGGTGTGGTTCAGAAATCCAAAACAAAAACAAGACAGAACAAAAAAGTAAGTAGGCCAACGCAATTAGTAGCCTTCTGAAGTATAAAGGAGAGAGAGAGAGAGAGAGAGAGAGAGAGAGAGAGAGAGAGAGAGAATACGTTTTCGTTTTCATATACCTTGCAGTTGCCTGGGTATTTCACTTGAAAGAAGGGTTTAAACCCATCTATTGTAGCATGAATCACTTCACAGTAAGACAAAGGAAAATGATTACCGTTAATTGCCACATACAATTAAAAAGGGTTCTTTGTTCAGTAACATTGATTATGTGCAAGTGAGAGTCGGCACTGCATTAATCCAAGATTGGTTGATTCTTGAAATCTCTTTCGCTAGATTAGCTTTCACTTCAAGGGAATCTGCTCTCTGGGATAGAAACCTAAATGCTTAGCGGTAAAAAAGTATGGATTTTTATTTCCCAAAATGCTCCTTGAGCTGCTTTTGTCGTACCATTTGTAATGACCCGAATCATCGAAGATTTTTGTTGCTCTTGGTTTGTTTTTGTGTCTCACCTGGTGGTGCTCAGGGTTACTCCTGGCTCAGTGCTCAGCAGTTATTCCTGGGGGTGTTGGTGGACCTGACGGAATGCCAGCGGTCAAACGCGGGTTGGCCACATGCAAGGCAAGTGCCCGCCCTGTCGTCACACTGTCTCTCCAGCTTTGCTGTTGTTTCGGGGCCACTCCTGGCTCTGCGCTCAGGAATCACTTCTGGTGCTGGCCCTGTGTGGTGCTGGGGAATCCGGGTCGGCCGTGAGCCAGGCCAGCACCCTGCCTGTTGTCTGTCTGGCCTCTTTGAACAGTTTCTAATGCGACAGGACGCCTGGCAGTTGTGGTCTCTGCTGTGTCAATTAGGGAATGCAGACACAACCTTGTGCCGGAAAAGGGGGAGAGGCCCCAGACTGATCTGGGAGTGGGGCCTGGCACTTGGTACATGCCCGGTTGTGGGTTGGGGCAGATGTCTCAGGGGGCTGAAACACAAGCTTTGCATGCAGGGTCCTAACTTCCATTCCCAGCACCTCAGGGGGCCCTGGTGCAGCAGAGGTGGTAAAACACTTTTTTTCCCCTTTTTGGGCTACACCTGGGCGATGCACAGGGGTTACTCCTGGCTCCTGAACTCAGGAATTATGCCTGGCGGTGCTCGGGGGACCACAGGGGGTGCTGGGAATCGAACCCGGGTCAGCCACGTGCAAGGCAAACGCCCCACCCGCTGTGCTATGGTTCCAGCCCCGGTGATAAAAAATTTTTAAGATTTACTTAAAAGGGGATAAAAACCCTAAGGTGCAACTTAATGTGAAAAATGTCTAAGTCTAAATAAACGTACATTTCTCACTTTATGTCAGACCCATCTTTTCATATACTTTTCTTTTCCACATAATTTTCTTTTTCTCTTCCTTTTTTTGTTCTTTTACCTTTTTCCTGGGCTGGAGCGATAGCACAGCGGGTAGGGCGTTTGCCTTGCACGTGGCCGGCCCGGGTGACCCGGGTTTGATTCCTCTGCCCCTCTCGGAGAGCCTGACAAGCTACCGAGAGTATCTCGCCTGCACGGCAAAGCCGGCAAGCTCCTCATGACTTACTCGATATGCCAAAAACAGTAACAACAAGTCTCACGATGGAGATGTTACTGGGCCCGCTCGAGCAAATCGATGAACAACGGGAGGACAGTGCTACCTTTTTCCTGGGCTGGAGCAATAGCACAGCGGGTAGGGCGTTTGCCTTGCACGCGGCCAACCCGGGCAACCGGGGTTCAATTCCTCTGCCCCTCTCAGAGAGCCCGGCAAGCTACCAAGAGAAGCCTGGCAAGCTCCCTCTGATGTATTCGATATGCCAAACACAGTAACAACAAGTCTCACGATGGAGACGTTACTGGGCCTGCTCAAGAATGAACAACGGGAGGACAGTTCTACAGAGAGTGCTACATTTCAGTTGGGAGGAGGGAGAGGGAGCACTTGCAAGTGTATATCAAGAAGTGTAGCTGGATCCGAGCATTCAAGTTTGGGGAAGTTTCTTTTAAAGTTAAAACCTGACGGAAGGTGGCTCAAAGGGCCACCACACGAATGTCTGAGCCCTGGGTTTAATTTCTGACCATGCAGGAATGCTCCCTCCACCCTAGTCAAAAAAAAAAAAAAAAAAAGACAAACGTGGGGAAAGGACAGACACAAAATAACATCGCATTTCACAAAATTATTTAGCACCGTCTGATTTAAAATAGTGAAAGGTTAAGAAATGATCTGAACAGTGATCACTGTATCACTGTATCACTGTCATCCGTTGTTCATCGATTTGCTCGAGTGGGTTCCAGTAACGTCTTTATTCGTCCCAGCCCTGAGATTTTAGCAGCCTCTCCTTACTCCTCCTTCCCAACGCTGCCGTATTGGAGGCTCTCTCAGGGTCAGGGGAATGAGGCCCGTTATTGTTACTGTTTTTGGCATATCAAGTATGCCACGGGTAGCTTGCCAGGCTCTGCTGTGAGGGTAGGATACTCTTGGCAGCTTGCATGGCTTCAAAATACTGCATTGTTCTCTCCCCGGAGCATATTTTATAGTCTCTGGATCTTGGCCGTTGATGAGATTGCATGGCAGCCGGGGGCAGTTTGTGGGTGTGACTGCCAAGCTACTGGAAAACTGGGGGTCTGGCTGGAGGAGGCCCAGCCCCGATCTGAGCAGGCTTGGAGATCTCAGCCCTGGGTCCCGCGTACCTGGGTTCTTCTGCTGGTTCCTTCATGCGTGAGGCTC